ATTATTAAATTATTTTTATTAATTATTTTATTTTTTATAACTGAAATATTATGTCCTTATAACCAAAATTCAATTTAAATTATGTCCTCAATTATGTCCCTATCAAATAATTTAGGGACCCATCTTTATATACAGTATATTACTTTTGTAATTATAATTCTCCTTTTAAACAAATATAAAATAATAATAAATAAGAGATATAATAACTGTTTTATTTTAAAAAATAATAATAATAAAATTTATTATTATGTGGTGTGATAAATAGTACAATAGAAGAATGTGACAATTATCAATGGAACAATTATTATCAACACTGAAAATACTGGAAACTGTTAGAATTTCTTATAACTTGTTAAAATAGTCGAAGTTTAATGAATTTCTACAATCAAACTTGACACGAAATAAAACTGAATACACATTTGCTATTAGAATTTTATAATCTCTCGGTTCAGACATTTTTTCTGATGGCTTTCGAAAAATTTAGGATTCTTTTTTTTCTAAACCATTCCTATACCTATTTGTAAGAATTGCGAATCATTTATAATTAGATTTGGTTATCTTGACCAATGTTCAATTTTCAAGTTTAGAATATACGTACGACTAATCCTGTGTCCTTTTCGCAGCATAAACCCATCAATGGATTTTATGCTCCGGGAAGTTTGAATGCCGTAAACTTTAGCATGTGTCATCTATTCGGAGCCCGTAAATTTTCATCTCATTTGAAGAATTGCTTTTTGCAGAAATGGGAAATGACCTTGAATTAAGGTGAACGCGAAGCTTTCGTGTAACCGACTAAGGTTGAAATTGCGTTTCGACTATATATAATATAAATAATTAATTAAACTTTTCAGTGTGCATAGCCTAATACAGATTTACGCGAAATTTTGTCAATAATAGTGCAGATCTTTCATTTATTGGATACGCACCCGGATAGTTCCTGTACTCCATCATCGTATGACATTCTTTTTTAAGAATTATTTGCCCAAACGCGTTGTCGCGTGCACTTTGAGTTTGTTTGTTTGCTGTTTTCGATCGCGAATATTATCACTTGTTTTCGTCGCTCATTTACACGTGTAGCTTCGACCACGTGATACTGATTATGAGCAAAAGATCTAATATAAATAGATCGCTTCCTTTTTTCCGGGCACAGCTAGTCCTTTGTTGAGATCATCGAGCAAACCTGATTCCTTTTTTCCACTATTGTCAAATTATATATTAAAATCATGAGCGCCGTGTCCAAACCCCTTACTTATTCCACCCAAAATATTATACCCGATAAGGAAGACACCAAGACGAAATATTGGAATGTCCCGTATAACAAAAAAAAATCAGTGAAAAAACCCCTTAGTATCAGATTTGATTCTAATAAAGAGAATAGCATGGGTGCCATCAACTCGAAAGTCACGGTGACCCCTGTTTCAAAGGATGAAGTTATTCCAAAGAAAAATGAAAACGTTGAAACGAAAGAGGAAGTCATCGTCACGAACCCTCCGAGTCCTCAGAGTCTCTCAAAGAAAAATACCGATATTGAAGAGCCATTACTGAAGCCCAATCCGAGACGATTCGTATTGTTTCCTATACAATATCACGATGTAAGTTTCGTCATGTGTGACGGGATGTGTATGTCGGAACCATGTTAATCGCAGTTTCGTTTGTTAGATCTGGCAGATGTACAAAAAGGCCGAAGCATCGTTTTGGACCGTTGAGGAGGTCGACCTATCAAAGGATAACCTCGACTGGGAAAATAAACTTAATGACGACGAGAGATTTTTTCTCTCCCACGTGTTGGCCTTTTTCGCTGCCTCGGACGGCATCGTGAATGAGAACCTGGTGGAGCGCTTTAGCAACGAAGTCCAAATTCCGGAAGCGAGGTGTTTCTACGGATTTCAGATCATGATCGAAAACATCCATTCGGAAATGTACTCTCTCCTGATATTTTCCTACATCAAAGACCAGGCGCAAAGGGAATACTTGTTCGACGCCATCGAGAACAGTGAGTAATCATGCTTAATTTTCGATGGGATCTTTTATCACATTACTAAATTTGATGCCTTGTCGCTTGCCAAAAAAGTTCCTTGCATTCGGAAGAAAGCTGAATGGGCTCTTCGGTGGATTTCCGACCGTCAATCCTCATTTGCTGAACGTCTCGTCGCATTTGCCGCCGTCGAGGGAATTTTCTTCTCGGGATCTTTCGCGTCTATCTTCTGGCTCAAGAAAAGGGGTCTAATGCCGGGTCTAACGTTCTCCAATGAGCTGATCTCTCGTGACGAGGGTTTACATTGCGATTTTGCTTGTCTACTCTATACTCACCTGCGCACGCGACCTTCGCATAAGACGGTCTTGGCGATCATTACCGAAGCTGTCAGGATCGAACAAGAATTTCTTACCGAGGCTTTACCAGTAAAACTCATCGGAATGAACGCAACACTGATGAAACAGTATATTGAATTTGTTGCCGATCGGCTGTTGGTGGCCCTGGGTTATGAAAAGCACTACAAGTCTGACAACCCTTTTGATTTCATGGATCTGATTTCCTTACAAGGTAAAACCAACTTTTTCGAGAAACGGGTCTCGGATTATCAAAAGGCCGGTGTCATGAGCAAGTCATCGCACAGCAGTGATCCGTCGGAAAATATTTTTACACTTGACGCTGATTTTTAAGCGAGGGTGTGGTGATGGTGGTGGATTGGTATTTATTTATGATGTATTGAATGTAGCATATAGTAAATATTGGTATGTCTGGGTATATAGTGGGCGCATGCGTAATTGTAATGAGTTCCCCATTTAAAAATTCATCTTTTTTTTTTCGCTTATATTATTAATATACATAATCCTTAAAATAAATTTATATTGTTTTCGAGAACGTCATTATCGTTTTCTTTACAAATGAATTCTCATTGAAGGCAACAACATTTTACGCGATCTCACGGAGAATAATATTTTTCATCATACTCTCGAACAGTTAACATCAATTTTATTCACATTCACATAATATTAAATTAAGCAGCTTTTCATTTTTTTTGTCGCAGAAAAAAAAAAAAAAGAAATAAGGTTTTTTTTTTAAAAAAAAAAAAAAAAAAAAAAAAAAAAAAAAAAAAAAAAAAGCAAAGGATTAAAACCAAGCAAAAAAAAAAAAAAAAAACATACAAACAGTGATATTAATGAGAGCAGTCGG